AAAAAAAAAAAAAAAAAGTCTACCTAGGCACAAACCCAACCTGGATTTGCTGAATTCATCACATACCTAAGCCTAACCCTATCTATATATCAGACCAGCTTTTTTGGTTAGATGCCATTGGCTTGGGGGAGCAGAATGGAGTCTTTGTCTCGAATGAAACCACATACTCTGTTTCCCTGCAGAAACACCAAGAAAATTTCAGAGCTTAGGAACATACTAACACAGCTGCAGCCGGGGGCTCTGGGGCGTTCAGCCCGCATGGTGCTTTCAGCTGCCCTCCGGACACCTCCAGCCAGGATGGCAAGCCCAGAGAACAACCACACAGAACCAGGGACTAGTCATCCAGATAGTACAGGTGAGGCCCCTGACCTGTTCTTTACAGTCCCTAGCAATGACCTTTCTGTCTGAATGTACCATTGCTATATAGGAATGACTCACAAGTAGGACTTCATACACTAGAAAAGACACTTTTCAGTGTCTTATTACTGGAGAGAAATCAAATGTTGTATAGTAATTGACAGAGCACTGGCCTAGGAATCTAGGAAACAGGAATCTTTATTCTTTGGGCCTCAGTGCCCTCATCTTCGAAGTGAAGGAATTAAACCAAAAAGTATCTACTCCTTTTGTTCTGTGATTATCTCAGAAAGATAATTAAATCAGGGTAGTGGTATATGTAGTTTATTACAGAAATAAGGTTGGGGAATAGTGTAGTTTTACCACAAAGGAAGAAAGGAATAAGAAAGTTTAGAATTCTGCTTTGTATTAGACATTGCTGGGTATTTTTACTTACTTTACTTAATGTTCAACAACAAACTTAGAAAATACACGTTGTTATCCTCATTTTACAAAAGAATTTGAGATTTCAGGAGATATTTCTGAGTCACACAGCTAGTTAATTAGTAGAGCCAGGATTTGAATCCTAAAGCTCTGATTCTTTTTACTATTCTAGACAGGAAGAGAGAGGAAACTTTGAAAAGTTAACAGAACAGAATGGTTTATTGTTTTAGTGTGAAAATTCTTAAAAGGAAAAAGGTTTATCTGCATTTCAAAGGACTAAACAAAATAGTAAAATAATGGGTGTATAATTTCATTGCAAAAATAGGGCATATTGGTTATCTCTTGTTGAATAAGAAATTAGCCCAAAACTTAATAGCTTAAAACATGTACCATCTCACAGTTTGTTATAGTTAAAAATGTGGGCATGGCTTAGTTGGGTCCTCCGGCTCTGGGTTTGTCACAGGCTGCAGTCATCTCAAGACTCAACTGGAAAAGATCTGCTCCCTAACTCACTCACCTAGCTGTTGGTGATATGCAGTTCCTCAGGGACTGTTGGACTTAGGCTTCCCTTAGTTCCTTTGCCGTGAGAGCCTCTCCATGGAGCATCTCACAGGATGGCAGCTTGTTTCATCAGAATGAGCAAATGAGAGACCAAGAATTATCCCCAGAGAGAGAGAGAAATCACAGTCTTTTGTAACCTAGTCACAGAAATGCCATCTCATTGCTTTTACGGCATACCATATTCTATTCATTAGAAGCAAGTTACCAAGTCCAGCTCATGCTCAAGGGGAGGCATGAATACCAGGAGGCAACAAGCATTTCCAAAGCTGTCTACCATGTAAGGAAGGCTGTCTCTTATTATTTTAAGAGGAGAACAGAAGGGAACTAATCATTTTGGGGCACCTACTATAGGCTGGGCACTGGCGCTATGAAAACACATTGAAATATATTAAATGCTGTACAAAAAATTTAATAAATTCTGGATAACTGGGCAGATAGTGTTTTTTTACTAATGTTCATTTGACAGGTATTTTCTGAACATCTCTTATGTGCTGATCACTGTGCTAGGTGTCGCACTGCTAGGGATACCACGGTAAATAAAATAGCAATGTTCCTACCCTAATGGAACAATACATGTCCATGTCACACAAATAAATTTAAAACTTAAAACTGTGATAAGTACTTTCCAGGAAAAACATAAAGGAATTATCATTTCATCAAAGACATGAAAATTAAGGAAGAATTAGTAAGCAAAGAGGGCAGAAAGAATAGTCTTAAAAGAATGAAACGTGTGAAGACTCTTTTGCTAATGAGCTAGTTTTAATGAGCATTTTTAACACAGAGCCCAGAACAGAGGAGCAAAACTCCAAGAATGATGATGTGGGCAGGATGAAAAGACAGAAAGTACAAGACCAGAGGTAAGTAGGTCAACGTGAAACACTTAAAATTACCACCCCAAACTTTACTGCCCTTATGTAGCTGTCCTTCCTCCTCCTACTCTTTTTTTTTTTTTTTTTTTGAGACAGAGTCTTCTTCTGTCACCTGAGCTAGAGTGCAGTGGGGTCATCACAGCTCACTGCAGCCTCAAACTCCCAGGCTCAAGTGATCTTCTCACCTCAGCCTCCCAAAAAACTGGCAAAAACCTCTGGCTCATTTTTCTAATTTTGGAAGAGATAAGGGTCTCACTGTGTTTCCCAGACTGGTCTTGAGCTCTTGGCCTCAAATGGCCCTTCAATCTCAGCCTCGCAAAACATTGGGATTATAGGCATGAGCCACTGTGCATAACCTCTATTTTTTTTTTGAGACTCTGTCACTCTGGATAGAATATCATAGCATCATAGCTCACAACACCACCAAATTCTTGGAATCAAGCAATCCTCTTAACGCCTAAGCAGCTGGGACTACAGGCACCCACAATGCCCAGCTAATTTTTCTATTTTCAGTAGAAAAAGTGCCTTGCTATCTTGCTCAGGCTGCTCTCAAACTCCTGAGCTCAAGCAATCCACCCACCTTGGCCTCCCATAGTACGAATATGAGGGGGCCAGCTCTTTTTTTTTTTAAAGAGTTAGGGTCTCACTGTATCTCCTAGGCTGGTCTCAAACTCCTGATCTCAAGTGATCATCCTATCTCAGTCTCCCAAGTAGCTAAAACTACAGGCACAAACCACTACATTTGTCTCCCTGCTCTTGGCTTCAGTTAGGTCAGAGATTATCTTTGCGTCTAATTCTTGATCTCTTAGTGTCTGCATCTAAGGGTAATAGAGAAAAGATGTCCTTGTCCACATGTTGTCAGGTTTGGATCTAGGTCTGAATGTGAGTATACTGCATTCTAGGGACTTCATCAAAATTTAAATATTTTCTGCTTCAAAGGATATTTCCAAGAAAGTTAAAAGAATATGGGAGGAAATATTTACATATCATATATTCAGTAAGATTCTTGTATGTGGGCCACATAAAGAACCTTTATAAGTCAACAATAAGAAGATAACCTAATTTTTAAAATGGACAAAGGATCTGAATAGACTTATCTGCAAAGAAGACATACAAATGGTTAGTAAGCACATAAAAAGATGCTCAAGCTGGCCAGGCCCAGTGGCTCACACCTGTAATCCTAGCCCTCTGGGAGGCCAAGGTAGGTAGATTGCCTGAGCTCACAGGTTTGAGACTAGCCTGAGCCAGTATGAGACCTAGTCTCTAAAAATAGCCGGTATTGTGGTGGGCACCTGTAGTCCCAGCTACTTGGGAAGCTGAGGCAAAAGAATCACTTGAACCCAAGAATTTGAGGTTGCTGTGAGCTATGACACCATGTCACTCTATCCAGGGTGACAAAGTAAGACTCTATCTCCAAAAAAAAAAAAAAAAAAAGATGCTCAAGCTGGACACAGAAGCTCATGCCTGTAATCCCAGCACTTTGGGAGGCCAAGGCAGAAGGATCACTTGAGGTCAGGAGTTCAGAACAAGCCTCGGCAATAGCAAGACCCCATCTCTACAAAAAATGAAAGAAAAAATTTGCTGGGTGTGGTGATACACACCTATAGTCCCAGCTACTCTGGAAGCTGAGACAACAGGATTACATGAGCCCAGGACTTAGGGGTTACTGGAAGCTATCCAGATACCACTACAGTCTAGCCAGGTAAGAAAGTGAGGCCCTATCTCAGAAAGAAGAAAAAAAAAAGGTGCTCAACATGGTTAGTCATTAGGGAAAATGCAAATCAAAATCACAGTGATCACTTCACACTCATTAGTGGGCTATAATCAAAAAGACAGACAATAACAAGTGTTGGCAAAGATACACAGACATTGAGGTGGTGCCTGTGCTCAATGGTTAGGGCACCAGTCCCATATAGCAAGGGTGGAGGGTTCAAACCCAACCCCAGCCAACTGCAACAAAAAAAATAGCCAGGTGTTATGGCAGGTGCCTGTAGTCCCAGCTACTTGGGAGGCTGAGGCAAGAGAATCGCTTAAGTCCAGGAGTTGGAGGTTGCTGTGAGCTGTGATGCCACAGCACTCTACTGAGGGTGATAAAGTGAGACTCTGTGTCTAGAAAAAAAAAAAGATATAGAGAAACTGGAATGCTCATATGTTGCCAATGGGAATGTTAAATAGTGCAGCTGCTGGGTGGTACCTGTGGCTCAGAGAGTAGGGTGCTGGCCCCATATACCAAGGGTGGCAGGTTCAAACCCAGCCCCCGCCAAACTGCAACAAAAAAGTAGCTGGGCATTGTGATGGGCCTCTGTAGTCCCAGCTACTTGGGAGGCTGAGGCAAGAGAATCGCCTAAGTCCAAGAGCTGGCGGTTGCTGTGAGCTGTGACGCCACGGCGCTCTACCAAGGGCAATAAAGTGAGACTCTGTCTCTAAAAAAAAAAAAATGGCAGCTGCTTTAGAAAACAGTTTGGCAGTTTCCCAAGAACCTAAATGCAGAGTAATCATGTCACCCAGCAATTCTACTCATAGATAATTACCCCAAAGAATTTATAACAGTATTCACAAAAAATCCTAAAATCCTAAAAGCAAGTGTTCATAGCAGCATCATTCATAATAGCCAAAAAGTGTAAACAACTTAAGTGTTTATCAACTGATAAAGCATGGAATATTATTCAGCCATATAAAAGAAATATAGTACTGCTACAGCATAGATGAACCTTAAAAACATTATGCTACGTATGAGAAGTCAGTCACAAAAGACCATATATTGATTTTATTTATATGGAATGTCCAAAATAGGAAAATTCATAGAAACAGAAAGTAGATAAGAGATTGTCAATGTAGATAGGTCAGAGGAATGAGGAGTGACTGCTAAAGGGGTCAGGGTTTCTTTCAGGGGTTATACAAATGTTCTAGATTAGATAGTTGTGATTATACACCTTGTGAATATACTGAAACCATTGAATGTACACTTTTTTTTTTTTGAGACAGTCTCACTTTGTTCCCTTCAGAAGAGTGCTGTGCTATCATAGTTCACAGCAGCCTCAAACTCTTGGGCTTAAGCAATCCTCTTACCTCAGCCTCCCCAGTAGCTGGGACTATAGGCGCCTACCACACCACCAGGCTATTTTTGAAATGGGGTCTCCCTCTTGGTCAGGCTGGTCTCAAAGTCCTGAGCTCAAGCAATCCACCTGCCTTGCCCTCCCAGAGTGCTAGGATTGCAAGTGTGAGCCACCACACCCAGCTGAATGTATACTTTAAAAAGGGTAAATATGGTATGTGCATCATACAGGGTATTTCAATAAAAAAACTGAACGCAGTAATAGAAGCTCTGTTCTCAGATATTCAAGGATTAAACATCTTCCCTCAAGTTTTTATTTTTTGTTTTTTGTTTTTTTGGAGACAGAGCCTCAAGTTGTCACCCTGGGTAGAATGCTATGACATCACAGCTCACAGCAACCTCTACCTCTTGGGCTCAAGCGATTCTCCTGCCTCCGCCTCCCAAGTAGCTGGGACTACAGGCGCCTGCCACAATGCCCAGCTATTTTTTTTGGTTGCAGCCATCACTACTATTTGGCGGGCCTGGGCTGGATACGAACCAGCCACCTTAGGTGTATGTGGCTGGCACTTTAGCTACTTGAGCCACAGGCGCTGAGCCCTTCCTTCAAGTTTTATGTGTCAAATGGGAAAACCAGGACTCCAACCCAGGGTTTCTAGGTGCACATCAACTATTCTACTTATTTTTGCCCTGATTCTAGGCTCCTTCAACCCTAATGGCCTCTTACTCATAGTTGGTCTTTAACTGCTCTTTCTCACAGGCCTCCGTTCAACTCTAAGTCTCGGTCAAACAAGAGGGGGACAGCAAGAGCACAGCAAAGAAAACACCGAACCCAAGCCCAAAATGGTGGTAGCCAGGATAGTGGACAGTGCCCCATCTGTGCAGGTAAGATGCTTGGGGACAGGCAGTTGTTATGTAACAACTAGGCATTCCTTGAATCTGAGACCAAGGGGTACTGCCAAAAATATTTTGGTTTGGGGCAGTGCCTGTGGCTCAATAGGTAGGGCGCCGGCCCCATGTACCTCAGGTGGTGGGTTCAAACATGGCCCCAGCCAAACTGCAACAAAAAAATAGCTGGGTATTATGGCGGGCAACTGTAGTCCCAGCCACTTGGGAGGCTGAGGCAGGAGAATTGCCTAGCCCCAGGAGTTGGAGGTTGCTATGAGCTGTCTGATGCCACAGCACTCTACTGAAGGTGATGGAGTGAGATTCTGTCTTTACAGAAAAAAAATATATATTTTGGTTTGGACTCCTAGTCTTTGTGATCTCTGCAGTTCCCAGATATGTAACCATACTTTTAGTCAAGTATAATTCAAATTCAAAACAAGTATATGTTGAGCACCTGCTCACATTGTGTTGGCCAAGCTAAGGAAGGTACATTGGGCCTGTCCCAAGAATAAGCATGAAACCGGCCCGGCGCCTGTGGCTCAAGCGGCTAAGGTGCTAGCCACATACACCTAAGGTGGCGGGTTCAAATCCAGCCCAGGCCCGCCAAACAACAATGATGGCTGCAACCAAAAAATAGCCGGGCGTTGTGGCGGGTACCTGTGGTCCCAGCTACTTGGGAGGCTGAGGCAGGAGACTCGCTTGAGCCTAGGAGTTGGAGGTTGCTATGAGCTTTGATGCCATGGCACTCTACCCAGGGTGACAGCTTGAGGCTCTGTCTCAAAAAAAAAAAAGCATGAAACCAAACTACATAAAACACTATCAGAAAGGGCTGAGATTTCCCTTCATAACTTTTTCCTCCATGTCCAAATTCTACTTTAAGTCTCTGTTCGAATGATACTTCTTTGCCAAGTCTTCTCTCATCTGCCCATATAATCTCACTTAACTTCTACAGCATTCTCTGATTCCCTTGGGCTTAACTCATCTCACCATCTGCTTTTATCAATGTTATTTACATTATGAATGTATCTTTACCACAAAACTCCACATTCCATAAGGACTAGCCTGGTTTATATCCCTCAGCTCCTAGCATACTGTTAGGAACATAATAAACAGTTAATAAATGTTTGATGGATACATTATAGTGTCTCTCAGATGAAATATTCAACCGTAATAAATATCGTGCAAAAAACAGCTGCATTTTGGCAGGAGAAATTCCTTCAGAGTTCTTGGGGTGGTATCCTGTCTGGGAGCAGGCTCAGTTTTGTTCACTTCCTTCTCTCCCCATAGGCTCCTTCAGCACTAAGATTCTTCCCCTGCATGCTGCTGCCTGTGGAGAGACTTCCTTGCCTTGCCCAGCTTCTCCCTCCTCATCACCATATTCACCCCCGTCTTCTCCAGAGAGTCCACCTCCTGTTTTCTGGGTCCAGTGCCCTATCTGCCAATTGCACTTCTCAGCTACAGAAGTAGAAGAACATGCCAGCACGTGTGGGGACGTCCATGAAGCATGAGCCATGAGATCCTGTGGTCTGGGCCTATCCTCTAAGACTAAGACTGGAGGGTGTATCTCTTGACTAGAAGGGCTGATGAAGCCAAGCTTACCTCCCTCTTTTCCTCTACTCATTCCCTCAGGACTCTGCCTGAGGGCACTTGTGTGCCCAGCCTGGTTTCCCATGCCCAGTTGTCAAGGGTTCTGTGACCATGGCACCCAATTCTCCTAAGGACAACTCTGTTATTTTTTCCCCTGTGGAACTTCTGGGCCTTGGGACACTACTCAGAACGTCTTCCTGTCCATGAGTGATGCACATCCTCATGCCCATTTTTCTGAAAGGAAAATGGAGGCTCAGTGAAAAGAAAAATACTGCCTGACAGATATGATCCTGTGGTGTACTAGGAAAGTGAGGGTGGGTTTTGCACATGAGACTGATATCCCATATCCCATGACCTTAATTCTCAGTATCCTTTGTGTGCTCCTTTCCCAGGTATAATCAGGTAATGGTGCTGCTGTGTGCCTTTAAACAAGTTAGTTATTTATCTTGGGGCCCAGAATTAACCTCCAATAACTGAGAGAGCAAGCGCCTCCCATTCACGGAGCTACTATAGGGAACCTAGTGGTCCTAGGCTTGACTGTCTAACCTTGGACAGATTCCTGTTTCCCATCTGCATAATGAGGTAGTTGGACCAGAGGCTCTCAAAGGTCCCCTCAAGCTCTGACATTCCAAATTCTATTCCCATCTTCTTTGAATAAATATGCCTTCTCCCCTTTCCCAGAAGATTTCACAGTGTGGCACTGATACCAGTTCTCCTGGTCCCCAGGGTGTAGGGCAGAGGGGTAGCATCTGGTCCTGCAAAGGGAGGGCCCAAGGCGGGGTTTTGAATGGGTAGGAGAATGCTGGGCACAGTCAGGGGAGCAGACAGCAAGAACTCAGTCTGTTGGTCCCTGCCAACAGAGGTGAGCACAGCCATGGACCCCCTCACGGTAAGAGGCCTTCTACTTCCTTATCCTGCCCCATCCTGGTCCCATTTCTAATTGCGAATAAAACAGATTGGTCCGGAGGGGTGGCAGGGGCATTCTGGTTCTTGCGAGACAGGTGCAAGAGACCTCTGTGGGTGGGAGAAGAACCCCTGGAATCCTGAGCCTGGTCACAGAAGAGAAGAGCAGTGAAAATGGAGCTGAGCCTGGCAGATGAGGGACAAGGTGGCATGGAAGGGGAGAAGTGCCTTCCACAGCAGCAGAGGGCAAAACTGGGGGGTTGGTGGGGTTGGGGGAGGAGCATGTTGGGATCCTGCTGGAGTCCTGCTCAGAGCTGAGGGGGTTGGGGAAAGCCATTTCAAAGACCCTCCTATGTGGACATGTCTGGACTTGCCCTTTGCAGAGCCTCTGGGACTTTCAGAGGGACGGGTGGCTGGGAAATGAAGTCAACAAGATGGGAGCTGGTCCCAGGCATCCTCTGTGCCTGTATGTGGAGTTAGGCTCCCTGTGTAGCCTTGTCACCTGCTCTCACCTACCTTTTCTCAAGATACCCACATGTGGCCACACTGTAGGATGGTTCCTATGAGGGTAGAAGTCAAGCTGAGGAAGGAGTTCCCAGTTACAACCAGTCCTGCCACTTGCCTAACCTGAGAATTTACACAATAAAATAGTGAATAAGATAATTTCTTCCGGGTTTGTGTTTGGGATAAGGAAGATTATAATAATGGCTGGGTATAAAGAGTTAGGCTCTGGGAGTAGAAGGGTGAGGAAGGCCCCAAAATAAGGAAGCTGGAAACTCAAGGACCCACCTCTCCACTCCTACATCCAGCCACAGCCTAACTGGACTGAAATCGTGAACAAAAAGCTCAAGTTCCCACCACCACTCCTGAGTGCCATCCAGGAAGGCCGTCTGGGTCTCGTGCAGCAGCTGCTGGAGTCTGAGGTTGAAGCCATGAGCAGTGCGCCAGGTGGGCCCTTGCGGAATGTGGAGGAAGCAGAAGACCGCTCCTGGAGGGAAGCTCTCAACCTGGCCGTCCGCCTGGGTCATGAGGCCATCACTGATGTGCTGTTGACCAATGTCAAGTTTGACTTCCGGCAGATCCACGAAGCCTTGCTGGTGGCTGTGGACACAAACCAGCCAGCAGCGGTGCGTCGCCTACTGGCCCGGTTGGAAAGGGAGAAGGGTCGCAAAGTAGACACTAGATCTTTCTCATTGGCTTTCTTTGACTCATCAATTGATGGCTCCCGCTTTGCACCCGGTGTCACTCCACTCACCCTGGCCTGCCAGAAGGACCTGTATGAAATTGCACAGCTACTTATGGACCAGGGCCACACCATTGCCCGGCCCCACCCAGTGTCCTGTGCCTGCCTTGAGTGCAGCAATGCACGCCGCTATGACCTGCTGAAGTTCTCCCTGTCTCGCATCAACACCTACCGTGGCATTGCCAGCAGGGCTCACCTGTCACTGGCCAGTGAGGATGCAATGCTGGCTGCCTTCCAGCTCAGCCGCGAGCTCAGGCGCCTTGCACGCAAGGAGCCTGAGTTTAAGGTCAGTTTCATTCTTCCCCCTCACCTTCGGTTCCTCTTATCTTTTACTCCACTGGAGCGTGATTGGGCATGTGATGGGTGTTCTGGGAAATGGGAAACAAGAGAAAGAGGAGGAGGCCTAGTCTCTCTTCTCGGGAAATCCCAGAACCCCATTCTGAGGGGGATTCCATTCTGATGGCACAGAGCAGTCAAGAGACATGCTAGGGGAATCCTAAGTCTGTCTTAGGGTAGAGAGAGGAGGAGAGAGAACGTAGATAAACAGAAGGTGCAGCAGCTCACATTTACAGTCTCAGTACTTTGGGAGGTCCCAAGGTGGTAGTTTTACGTAAGGCCAGGAGTCCAAGACTAGCCTGGGCAACATAGCAAGACTCTGTCTCTACAAATAATTTTAAATATTAGCCAGGCACAGTGTTGTATCCCTGCAGTCCCAGCTACTTGGGAAGCTAAAGCAAGAGGATCACGTGAGCTATAGTAGCACCACTACACCCCAACCTGGGTGTCAGAGGAAGACCATGTCTCTTTTTTTAAAAAAAGAAAGAAAATAGGCAGTGCCTATAGCTCAGTGGGTAGGGCACCCACTGGGTAGGCCACATATACCCAGGCTAGTGGGTTCCAACCCGGCCTGGGCCTGCTGAACAATAATGACAACTCCAACCAAAAAATAGCTGGGCATTGTGGGCACCTGTAGCCCCCCAGCCCCGGCCCCCCCCAAAAAAGGAAAGAAAAAGTGAATGAGAAAGGGAGAGAGGGAGAAAAGAAGGCAGGGAGGGAGGGGGAAAAGTAAAAGAAAAGAAAAGCAGCCTGATGGACTTGGAGGTGATGTTCAGTAATATCTCTGCTGAGTACCTGCTATATGTTCCCCTCTGCAGCACAGACACTTCCAGCACACTCAGCTTCATTCATTGCCTCTATGGATGGTACTAACAGGATTTTCAAAGTCCAGAAAACAGGTCAGGATAGTACAGCCGTTGTGTTCAGGGAAGACCCCTTAGAAGCAGCAGCATTAAGTTTAACTAAAGAAGTAGGTGGTTTGGCTCGGTGCCTATAGCTCAACCGGCTAAGGCGCCAGCCACGTACACCTAAGGTGGCGGGTTCGAATCCCCAACCCGGACCCGCCAAACAACAATGATGGCTGCAACCAAAAAATAGCCGGGCGTTGTGGCGGGCGCCTGTGGTCCCAGCTACTTGGGAGGCGGAGGCAGGAGACTCGCTTGAGCCCAGGAGTTGGAGGTTGCTGTGAGCTGTAATGCCATGGCACTCTGCCCAGGGGGACAGCTTGAGGCTCTGTCTCAAAAAAAAAAAAAAAAAAAGAAGAAGTAGGTGGTTTAAAACAAGTGAGGAGCAGAAAGGTGAGGTGTGGCTACAGTCCAGCAAAGGTTCTTGGGGAGCAGAAGTATACACAGAGACCCTGTGCAGGAAAGACAGAGAATGCATGAAGCCTGCAGACTTGGATACCACCACTCCAGTTCATCCATCACTTATCTGCAGACATCTCCTGTGCATCAAGCCAGACTTGGTCCCCATCCTCAAGATTACCATTAGGTGGGGGAACCAACTGTGATATTAAAACAGAGACTTAGGAAAGGATGGTTTGTGCCATGCAAGCTGGGGGAAGAGAATGCTGCCCCACCCAGAGGCATGGAAGTCTAGGAGAGTAAAAAGCACCTGCTGTGCAGCCAGCAGGAAAGGGAGCTCCTTTCCGAAGGACTTTCCCTCCATTCTCACTGCCGCTCAAAAGGGAGACATAGCAAAATTATAATCCCCACATTATAGCAAAGAAGCTGAGGCCTGGAAAGGGGAAGAACCTTGCCCACTGTGAATGAGCACCTGAGGGACAGTACTGGGACTCAGACCTAGCTTCCTGATAGCCTAGCCTGGATTCTCAATAGAACTGAGCATAGGATTGATAAAGTGGAGCCAAGAGTTCCTTATCAATTCCTGCACCTCCCAAAATTGTCGGCACAGGTTCTCATATAGGGTAGGTGCTCAAAAGGGTTAATTAAATGAGCACATGAAAGGCATAAGGAGTAAAAGTGGGACAGAAAATGAGGACTAGAAAAGGGAAGTGCAGGGATGGGAAAGGAGGACAGAGGGGTTTGGGTTGAAGTGACTTAGTGATGAGGTAGAGATAGCACCAGATAAGCAAAGTGACACAAGAGGTGCCTTATAGCATGAAGGATAAGCGAGGTGGCAGAGAAAAAAAAGCAATGACCCAGTGACGCCAGCTGTAGGAAGTGATGGTGCGATGGCAGGACAGAGGTGGCCTGGGCCCGCTGTTGGGGAGGTGTGGCCTGATTGAGCAGGCCTGGCTTCACAGGGTGGTAGGTACATGTGCACCTGCTTTCCTATAGCCTGAATACATTGCCCTGGAGTCGCTGAGCCAGGACTATGGCTTTGAGCTGCTGGGCATGTGCCGGAACCAGAGCGAGGTCACTGCAGTGCTCAATGACCTGGGCGAGGACAGCGAGACTGAAGCTGAAGGCCAGGAGCAGGCCTTTGAAGAAGGCATCCCCAATCTGGCTCGACTGCGACTGGCTGTTAACTACAACCAGAAGCGGGTGAGCTGGGCCCTGCCCTGATCTATTGCCCTGACACCTCTAGGTGTCTCCCACTCTAATCGTAAGCAACTCCTTTTCCTGCCTTCAGGACCCTCTGAACCCTGATTCAGAGCACCCTTCATTCTAGGCCCTTGACCCTGTGGGTCCCAAACCCTCCCTTTTTACCTTCTATCTAAGCGCCAAGCCTCTCTCCTGCCCTCAGAAGACCCATTACCCACCAGGAACCCACCTTCAGACCAGGACATTTGGGTCTTAGACTCAGCTTTGCCAGTAGCCTATTAAGTTACTTTGGTCCAGTCTTTTCTGTTGCTAGACTTTAGTGCCTCACTCTATAAAGCAAGATTAGACTAGATCTATCAGGGCTTAAATACCAAGTAGTTCATTCGGACACCCTCCTACCTAGGCCAAAGACAGGCTTCCTTCTAGCCTCTTTCAGCCCCTTGTCCCTCACTTTCATCCTCCCTCAGATACCCTAGCCCACCAGGAACTTAACCAAAAGCTTTCCTTCATAATGGTCCCACATCTCTACCCCCAAAACAGTAAACCCCACTTTCCCTCTTTTCCCTTCCTTAACACCATCCAGGCTGGTGCCCCACATCTCTAAAAAGTCAGGGAACCTGAGAATTCTGGGTCTTGTGTACTCAGTTCTAACCACCACTTCCTGACTTAGAATAAAAAATGTGAGATTCAAAAGGTCCAGGAAAATCTTGGAGTTCAGCTTCCTTGTTCATAGAAACAAGGCCTAGAGTGGTGGGGTCTGCCCATGGTCACGGGAAATGCAAGCTGCCTTTCTCTTGGGGAACTTGATGCGGGGAGGAAAAAGGGGTAGGTGGGTCTCAGTGACAGAGAAGTGAGGGTTGTGCCCCCAGTGTTCCCTTCCCCTTGCTGCCTGGCGACACCGCCTCTGCTCACGTGCCTCTCTGCTTAGTTTGTAGCACACCCCATCTGCCAGCAAGTTCTGTCCTCCATCTGGTGTGGGAACCTGGCTGGCTGGCGTGGAAGTACCACCATCTGGAAGCTCTTCGTTGCCTTCCTCATCTTCCTCACCATGCCCTTCCTCTGCCTTGGCTACTGGCTGGCACCCAAGTCCCGGGTACTAAGAATAAGATTCATGATAACTGTCACTTATTGAGTACTTGTTTTATGCTAGGCCCTGGGCAGGACACTTTGGGTATATAATTTTGTGAATGTTCCCCTTGAGTAACTTGAGATGGCCCTGGAAGGTAGACAATACACATCTATTTTATAGAGGAGGGATCTGAGTCACAGGGAATAGAAATAGTCACAGCTCCTTTTTGTCAAGACTACATGATAAATCCTAGTGTCAAGTTTTTTTTTTTTTTTTTTTGAGACAGGAGCCTCAAGCTGTCCCCCTGGGTAGAGTGC